CTATGTTAAATATAATCTTAATAAACTATAGGAAGGTTAACTTTAATAATGGAATAGAAAAATGGGTAAAACAAGAAAGTTTTTACGGCCAAAACAGAGCTCACTAGTCTAATGCACGAGGGTACCCCTTATTCTCTATTCGGAAGCAGTCAGATCGATAGTTGTAGTAGGTTTTTATTCGGATCGTGAACAAAACAGTTGAAGGTCTAGGATTAAATTTTAAACACGACATTCAATATTCGGAATTTCTTCAGAAGATAAACATGAAAATAATTTTTTGTCAATGGTGCAAAGCCCTTAAGTGAGGCTCACAGTAGAGGGATAGTTTGTAACATAAAGAACCCCAGGCTTGTCTTTGAAGTTGTGAAGATAATTAGGGGTCTAGCTTCAACTGTGAAAATTCTAAAATCTCTCGTCTGCGGCTTGATGAGTCATGTATACATACAAAACAATTACCCTTTAGAAGTGTCGTTAGTAGAAAAAGGTGTTAGGTTTATGGGTTCAGTATGACTTAAAAGCACACTTCGTGAAAATGGTGCCTTTTGACTCGATCTTGAACCATTCATTTTAAAAGTCATCTTTGGCCAGTCTATGAACAAATTTTACACAAAATGTGTGAGTTTTCTAGTGATTTTATTCATGTTTGTTCAGAGTATGGTGAATGTTTCTTGCTTCACTTCCAAAACGTAAGGTAAGATGAACTTTTTCTAATCCCCTTGAAATGTGGGCGATAAAGAGTGTAGGTCTCTCATATGCATGGATTGACCTTACTAAAAGCTATGTGGGACAAAACCAGGAACAGTTTCTAACATCTAGGTATGAGAAGGAAAATCGATTAGTCTATAATCTCTCATCAAACAATATCAACATTCTTAAACAAAAAGGCTACTCATTTTCACATTTCTGGTCGACGAAAATTTGTTCATCATCGTTGATAGATATATGCGGAGGAAAAGCGCGTTGTGTACAATAAATCCTATGAATCTTGGATTTGAACAAGTTATCTCACTGGACAAACATGCAGATGATATTCTGTCTTATCACATTAGGTATGTTTCTACATGCAAATCGATCTCAAACATCTTAAATGTGATATGCCTGGTAAACCGTTTCAAATAAATGTTCGATGATAATGTGAAAAAATAAGTTTGGACATTAAGTGACATTGTTTCTAGTTCTATATTCCGTATGTATTCATACGACAAGTAAAAATAATAATCTGATAAACATCGTAGTTAAGTATTCCTGGAAGAGTTCAATTTGAGTCAGATAGGACTATATGAGCACAAATAAATGCATTATATTTGTGACTCATGATGACCGTGCAGTCAATCACAAAGGAATTATCCGTTAGTACAAATATCACAACCGCCACAGCTTAATCGGGCTTCCCAATTACCAGAATCTGTTGTACGTCACCTCCATAGGTTAATCATATGACTTTCCAGTTGTATTTGATATGTGATCAAGACTTTACGCACTTGTATAAGATTTTTCATTAAAGCAATTTCATCAAAGCTTCTTTTCTTTACGGTCAGGTTATCCAGCACTGAAATACCTTATAAACACTTTTTTCTTGATCATCGAATTTTGTAGCACGAGTAGAATTGATGTCTATTTTCACGGTATTGCCATTTCTTGCCTACTTATCTAGATGAGGGAGCTCTGGAGTCAAGCGTAATTTTCCACCCTTCGATTCCGTGGCCAGCAAGTTATCAAGCACTTAATAAAAACCATTTCCATTGGTCAGTAAATAAAGCTGTCCCTAATTCCTTCTTAAATTTTCTAGACCTATTATAGACGGTCCAAAATCACTGGTGAGAAATTCACAATTTACAATTGAAGGTTTATGTGATGTTTAAATAAATCAATGACTTCTTTGTATTGATGACTGTTGTGATTTTGAATTCCAAATACAATACATTCGTTCGGGCTCATATAATACTTCTTGATTACATTGGGTTATTCCTGGGATTACTAGTTTATACTACAATTCAAATACTTCTGATAATCACATTGGCGTCGCGATTGAGCCTGTAATGGAACGGTTGAATATAAATTCAGGTTTTAATGCTTTTGATCACTACTTGGAGAGGTTTGAAATCTGGGCTACGACCGAGGAAGATGATGAAGATTTTAATATTGTGGCCCATTTCCTTACATTCATCGGGAAAGAAGCATACAGCCTAATAAAGACTTTGGCACTTCTAGACAAACCAATTTCACTCCCCTATGTAACTCTCAAGCAACTACTGTTGGATCATGTAAAGTATACAAATTCTAAATGCGGTAAGAGAAAAATTCGATAAAATGACTCGCCAGAACATCAGGAATTCCACTACTTTACTAAGTCGTCGCAGTTCGATGCGTAGTCAAAGTTATTCAGATAATACTTCATTGAGCTGTGAAACGGTCCATGATGATGAGCACGAGTTTAGTAAGTGCATGTTCTGTGGCAAGTTTCACCCATGTAATTCACGTGTATTTCGTAATTCTAAATGCTTTAACTGTGGTGAAACTGGATACATTCAGTCAGTTCGTAACACCATGGTTCATTTTGCTGAAAGTAATGCAAAGATGGATGCTTCTAATGATCAGTTATCTTTATCTAGAAGTGGTGTAACGTCACATAACAGTCCAGAGTTGAATGAAACTCAGAATCATTGTGAGACAAAAATTGCTAATCAACAAAGTTATCGGATTTCTCATGTCATTGAACCAGATATGATTTGTCGTAATAATTCACATATTTCTGATGGAATTTCTTACAACTCTGAGAATAGAATGTTAAATGAATCAAATCATGGTCAAAAACCAAATTCAGTCATGGTAGACGCTGAATTCCCTGATGATCCATTATCTAATGAAACTCTTAGTCAATTTGAGGAAAATATTCCAGAGAAATTGAATTCTGATATCATATCAAGTGTCAGTGGTCCTCACAATCAATTTATCTCTAATGATATTCCTAATGAATGTGAAAAATATGTTCCGAATGAGTCGAATTCTAGTCATATTTCTGATGTTATTGTGTCAGATGCTGGATACTCTCACGAACAATGTATGTTGAATAGAATCCCTAGTCAGGGGTATGATGAATCAGAGGGGATAGCAAAATTTACCGAAATAACCAGAGAACTAGCTTGCCCAGAAGTGAAGTTTGCACAGACAGAGAATCCAAATCAAGTCCAAGATTATCCTAATGAATATGAGGCAGATGAATGTTTTCTATTCGATTGTTCCGCAGGTAAATCGAGCCTAGTTGAATCACATGTGTTAATTACATATATCAATGCATATCCATCTGTGTATTCTAATATGAATAACAAAAAGAATATGTACCATAATTTTTATTCGAGTCAAAGTCACATGATGGAATACCTCAAATTATGAATCAGTGTGTATCTCCAAATACTCAACACAGTAATCGAAGCATGAAATTTGAGAAGATAATGCAAATTGGGAACGTCGAATTGGTTATAACATTGCGACATAAGGACCCAACATTATTTCGTGGGGGAGGATAGTGTTGAAAAAGTCTGTGATGCAAATTCTAAATATCAGTGGTTTCACTACACAACCAACATGATGATTATATACAATTCCAGGAATCAGGTGAGTCTGTTCCAGTTTCGGTTGTTAATTCTAATACTAAATAGTGCATTCTAGATAATACAGAGTCTACATCCAATACACCGTCGGACAGATGTAAGATGAACTTAAAAAGAAGACGAACAATCGATTACAGACACTTACACTCCAATTCGAGCTGTGGCGGATGTGATGTTTAAATAAATCAATGACTTCTTTGTATTGATGACTGTTGTGATTTTGAATTCCAAATACAGTGCATTCGTTCGGGCTCATCTAATACTTCTTGATTACATTGGGTTATTCCTGGGATTACTGGTTTATACTACAATTCAAATACTTCTGATTATCATAAAAATACACATGATTTACGTGCGTGGACTTTACCACAGGACAAACATTCATCAAACTTGTGCTGTACTCTGTAACCTACTTTGCAACTCCTCACTGAATTGTTATCTATGTTTTCACGAGAACGAGGGTTTTCGTCAATTAAACGCCTACCTGTATGGCCTCGAGTACACATCGGATTAGGATAACTACGCACTACAGAGGAATTCTTGAAGTCAATTTCATGCACTGCCTCATAATTAATACACGCAGTTCTAGAATCTTGGAAAGAACACATCGGCATTTGCACGAACCTTTTTTTCAGATTTGGTATGTTAATCCGTGCAATCAATCGATCAGGAAGATGCACGTGAAGTTGATCACCGAAATTACACTTTGCAGTTTGTTTCTGCTATTCGAGAGTAAACTCTCTAACCTTTTAGTTGTTCTGACGAATCATTTCATGAAATTTTGCTCCTTTTACGACATTCCAATCAAATACACTTCACAACACAGTCAACCCAGTCAAATCACCAGCCAGGAATGAAGGAGTTGGAAGATATATTTGGTCCAAGATAGCTAGTAGTTGAAGGGAGTAAGTTGTACGGCATACCCACTCGTGATCTGGTGTTGACGCGTGATCAAGCGTCCAGTTCAGTAAAACTAATGTATTCAGCACCAAATGTCGAAAAATTACAGAGCTATTGATTTTCGGGACTTATTTACCGCTACAAGAACCTAGTAGTCGATGGATTCATCCATCTTTTTTGACGTAGAACTACTTATTATTGTCCCCCCTCGTTATAATTTATCGCTAGAAAATTTTAATATAAGGCTAAATGCCGAGAGTTCAAACGTTGCTGAAAATCTAGTAATTATCCATCACTCTCCAACGTTTTCACCTATAATTTTCGAAAGTCCATCTGAGATGTTATTTGTGCTACTGAAGCCAAGTAACTAGCAAAATTCATTAAACACAGCGAAAAAACTTAAAACTATGACCTAAAATCAAGATTCAAGCTGTTTAAATAGTTCATTACGAAGATATTGGACGATACTCTTGTTAGGATAAGTGATTCAGTACGGGCGGGTTTTCATCTACTGTTTTACGTCATTCAGGTTAATGGGTGATAAAGGATTTAAGGTCGTTATCAAATCGCCTAATGATAAAATACCTAGTTTGACTGTGCAATGCCTTTCTAACTGGCTGGCCAGTGACTTAAAAAAGTACTTATCAGAGCATCATCCCGCTCAACCTAGTGTCCTATCTCAAAGACTTATCCATGCGGGTAAGCTTTTGAAAGATGATACGTCAATCTCAGACATTTGTACTCAGGTAAGGTATCTTTTCTGGTCATTTCCAGGTCGATGGGCTTCCTACAATCCATCTAGTATACCCCAAATCAAAACTAACGGGCGATTCTAATGTCAACAACCACCGAGCTGACAATACTTTGTTGTAAGTTTTACACTCCCAATTATCTTGCAGCTTTTTGTAATATTTTTTCTTCAATATGATCTTCATAGAAGCGGATGGTTAAACCATAGCCACATCGCTAATTATAAACTTAATACTGTCAACCATAAGCAACTCAAATCCTGGGGTACTCGTCAGTACAACTAGGAAATTAACATGAAACGATTCAGAATAATAATGTAAATAACATCTAAGAGAAGTGGGCGTTAGAAATATGGCTTGCGAAACCTGTTGTTACAATTGATTCACAGTTAACTCACTCAACGTCTCTAACTGCTGAGCATTGCTGTATAAAATATTTCGTGAATTTGACTCAAGTGTACTACATCTATCTCCGTCTGTCAGGCGTTCATACCTTAGTATATGACCTTACACCTCCAACTACGTTATGTTAGACCACGGAATTTAGTGAATGTCAGAACTTGTTAAGAACAGAAAGTGATCATTCATTCACACAACTTTATATATTAGAGAGAGATTGTCGAATAAAATTGGGATTATCGGAATTCCTTTGAAGGAAAAGCTAGCTTACTTACGCCTGTTACACCTAGTGGAGGAGCATAGGCCACACACCAGTATTCCCTATCCAACCCTATCTTGGGCATTACTTTCCAGTTGTTATCTTTTTTGTATCTGCCTCTATTTCCCAGCGTAATATCAGTCAGTCAGTCAGCTACAACGTAGGACCAGGCACATTTATGCATCGGTCCAAGTTGCCATACCTCGTTAGCACAACAAGATGAACACCGGATTCATAGAAGTAATTAATTTAGTGGTGGTAGTAGTATATAAATTATAGGTTGTATATAAGGATATAGTACAGGAAGGAGGAGAGATATGAAGCAATTTTAATCTCAAGGTTTAAAGGAAGATAAAGAGTGTATACACTTACGCCATTGTGATCGATTCTGAGCCATATCACCTAGAGTCTCCAACCATTGGTTACGATAATCACGCGGACCCCAACCAGGTAGTCTGCATCTGCCAACATGGCTCAGACTAGAAGTTAGTGACTTCAAACACTGATGCCATGTTTTGGTTTGGCCGCCCCTAACTCTCTTCCAACAATCCCCTACACTAGTCATCATAGCGCGTCGTGGTAATCGGTGTTCAGGCATACGTAACACATGGCCCAACCATCTCAGTCGATGAAGATTCATGACCCCATCAACTGATTTACCATCGTTCCCTAATACCCTGCGTCGAACCTCACTATTACTTACCCAGTGATCCCAGCAGATGCGTGCAATATTTCTAAGGCATCTGTGGTCAAATACTAGTAACTTACGAGTATCTTCTACTCTTAATGGCCATGTTTCACAACCGTAAAGTAGGACAGAGCGAACTGCTGCGCAGTATACTCGTCCTTTAATTGATAGACGGATATCTCGTCTTCGCCATAGGTGACGTAAGTTGGCAAAAGCCAAACGAGCTTTTCGAATCCGTGCTGAGATTTCGTCAGACACCAACCCATTAGGGCTGATCAGACTTCCAAGATAAGTGAAGTTGTCGACGCGTTCGACTACTTCACTCCCTATCCTTAGTTCAGGTGTTGATGCAGGCCAATCCTGGAGTAACAATTTACATTTGGATGGGGAGAATCGCATCACAAACATCCTGGCATTATTACTGAGTTCCAACAGAAGACTCTGCATTTTGCCAGCGTCTTCACCAAACAGGACTATGTCATCTGCGTATTCTAAGTCGCTTAGTGGTCCCCCTGGTAGGAGATCAATTCCTGAAAATTCAGTCGAAGAGAGTGTTATTTCCAGCAACAGGTCTATAATGAGGTTAAACAAAAATGGGGATAGTGGACAGCCTTGACGGACACCACTTGAGGTTGTAAAATCATATGACAGTTCGCCATAAGCTCTCACTCGACTGGTAGTGTTCGAGTAAAGAGCCTTCACAAGGTTTATGTACTTCTCAGGTACACCTTTCAATGACAGACACTGCCACAGAACCTCTCGGTCTACAAAGTCAAATGCTGCTTTCAAGTCAAGAAAAACTATCATTGTCGGACGCCGATAAGCGTGTCTGTGCTCTAAAACTTGACGAATGGTGAATATGTGGTCGATACAGGTCAGGTCAGGTCAGCTACAACGTAGGACCAGGCACATATATGCATCGGTCCAAGTTGCCATACCTCGTTAGCACAACAAGAGGAACACCGGATTCATAGTAGTTAATCTAGTGTTGGTAGTAGTATATAAATTATAGGTTGTATATAAGGATATAGTACAGGAAGGAAGAGAGATATGAAGCAATTTTAGTCTCAAGGTTTAAGGGAAGATAAAGAGTGTATACACTTACGCCATTGTGACCGATTCTGAGCCATGTCACATAGAGTCTCCAACCATTGGTTACGATAGTCACGCGGACCCCAACCGGGTAGTCTGCATCTGCCAACATGGCTCAGGCTAGAAGTTAGTGACTTCAAACACTGATGCCATGTTTTGGTTTGGCCGCCCCTAACTCTCTTCCAACAATCCCCTACACTAGTCATCATAGCGCGTCGTGGTAATCGGTGTTCAGGCATACGTAACACATGGCCCAACCATCTCAGTCGATGAAGATTCATCACCTCATCAACTGATTTACCATCGTTCCCTAATACCCTGCGTCGAACCTCACTATTACTTACCCAGTGATCCCAGCAGATGCGAGCAATATTTCTAAGGTATCTGTGGTCAAATACTAGTAACCTACGAGTATCTTCTACTCTTAATGGCCATGTTTCACAGCCGCAAAGTAGGACAGAGCGAACTGCTGCGCAGTATACTCGTCCTTTAATTGATAGACGGATATCTCGTCTTCGCCATAGGTGACGTAAGTTGGCAAAAGCCAAACGAGCTTTTTGAATCCGTGCTGAGATTTCGTCTGACACCAACCCATTAGGGCTGATCAGACTTCCAAGATAAGTGAAGTTGTCGACGCGCCTTCACAAGGTTTATGTACTTCTCAGGTACACCTTTCAATGACAGACACTGCCACAGAACCTCTCGGTCTACAGAGTCAAATGCTGCTTTCAAGTCAAGAAAAACTATCATTGTCGGACGCCGCCCAGCGTAATATGTTCTTTTGCCTTCCTCTGGTTTCTGGTTGAAACGCTAACCAGAGAAGCTAGATGCCGTATCACAACTCGGAGTTGTTGTTCAGTCGTGAATCACTACTAACCCTGAGTCTTTTTGTTCCTGGTCTCATGGAAGTAATGTACTAATAGTTTTATTGGGGACCATTGCCGAGTCCAGTGTGAATTAATGAATCCTTCAGGAATCGATCTTCAGACGTCAACTTAGGGGCTGTTTTACTAATCCACCTAAGCCATCTTGAGGACCAAAATTACCAGCCTTACTACATATTGTTCCCCGGAATTCGAGATTACCGAGCTCCAGCGTCGACGACTATAACACTCTTGTTGGTTCATGGACGTAGAAAATGCTTTGTATGGTACCTGCTATCAAGACTGAGGAGACTGCATAAGCACTGAGTTATCTCATCAAACACCTTGCTGGTTTCTTTGACTGTCACATCGACAGGCAAGTCACTATCTTGGTCTGCTGCTCAGCCCTCTCACAGTTAGTTAAACATAAGTGCTCGTTTCAAAACCCGTGTTCTCTAGTAGTTGACAAGTTATGTGATGGCTAAGTAATTTTACAAGAATTGCTCCTTCAAATTATCTAGGCTTAAACTAATGAATTACGACTAAACATCGTGATTGACAATGTCGAGGTGTGAGGAGGACTTCAGTCTTAAATTTTAACTTTGAAAATATGGATTTTGTGTAGAATTCTAACAGCATAGACCCTTCATTCAGGTTCATGAACTCATGCTTTTTGTTTTTCTCGCTGACGATCTGTTTGTGTTCACAAACATATGTAGCTGTTATATTGTATTATAGTCACTGAAGTGTTCTCTTGTTCTTCATTTTCGTCTATTGTTGATTTCAGTATTGTAATTTTCCCGTTTCTGAAAAGTTTCCCACAAAAAAAGTATAAACTGTAACCGGCGTACATCGCGTGATCATCGATCTTTGTTTCAATTTTCACTACAGACTCATCGTATTCAGCTTTAATTTGTGAGTCATCATAAACCAGAGCTCACAGATAAAAGTCATTTTCGACTTCTCTATACTTCCCTCTCAATCTAATCGTTATTTCTCGAATTTCTTCTTACAGTAATATTTCACCTGAGCAAATGCATAAATATCAGCAGGCGTATTATCATTATTTGCAAACGTTTTATATGGAGAATCCTCCAATAAACCAAACTGAGTGCCATACGCAGGATTACTGTTACCCTTACTATTTTGGGACAGGTATGAAACTGATCAATTTTTTGTACGAGTTTTTTTTTATAATGAGATTGGCAAGACATCTCAATTAAAATTAAATTGTGATTTTATAATAGCAGTGATAAATCTCACCTCTAGGATTAAGAAGCTCGATCGATGATGAATGTATCATTTTGTGGAGTGTACTTCGGTTTCTCACTTTCGGAGATTTTGACCTTCAGATAAGCTCATGAGAAAGTTGGCTTATACTTCATGAGGAATTTTTGCAGCAGTCGTGAACTTTTCATGAATGACATTCCCATATCGTTAACATGCAGTTCTGTATATCTACACATGTTATTTAATTGCTTAAGTTATTCTTCTTTAAGTAAATTTCTTCAAAGGATGTATTATTATTGCTTGACTAAATGCTCAGTTTGAGTGTAAAAGGATTTCACTAAGTGTTTGCACTAAGTTGTTGCAACTTTAGTTGATGAGTTATTGTCATAATGTTACCATTATCAGTTTTAATGTAGTATCTTAATTGTTTTTATCAGGGACTGTTATGCAAATGCTTCCCGGGAACTATAGTTTCCCTAACAATGCTTATGTTCCACAAACTCATAGCTCTTCACACCAAACAACCCCAAACAATTCATCTAGCAATACGCAACAATGGATTCAAAGGGCGCAGACACTTTTATCTAATTGGGGAGTGTTTAATGGTAATCAGCGTCAGAGGGAAGCGGATGAGGTATTACCTAATGAAGATGGGGTTAACCAAAGAGCTAACCAAATTCAACCCCAAGCAGCACAAGAAGTGGTGCTTAATAATGCAATACGAAATAATGATCGACCCGATGAAGAGGTTAACGGGGTGGGAAATATGGACATAGTTGATCGTTTTTATATGCTTTTTCGACTTTGTCTTTTCGTGGGGCTTTGTTTCGCATATTCATCTTTGGACAAGGCACTTATTGTGTTCTCAGTCGCTGCTTATGTATATCTGTAAGTTCCCAACTATTATTTTTCTAATGCCAACGTGTTTAGTACAAACGAGCGGAGTTTATTATTTACTTATTTGCATCACAAAATATTTCATACAACAGGACATCGGGAATGTGTTACGGAGGAGAATAACGTGTAGAAAAGAAATAGAATATGAAAGGGGCACTCAGTCATGCACGAATTAGAAGCTGGTATATGTGTGTTTTTGGCCCAAGCTACTATGGCACATTCACACAGCGAAACAAAATTACTAAAGCCTGGTAGCACGTTGGCGATGACTGTGCTGGTAGTTAGTACTAGCCAGAGACAGGTTGTAGTCTGCTCAAAGTTGCGGTAGATGGTACCTGTTATCTGACCTGCGGCCACCTAAACGACTCACTTCTGTGCCTAGACGCCCAATCTGTGCATTCAAGTCTCTGGCTAGTACCATAATATCTGTCGAATACACTTTCTGTAAATGAACTGTTAAGTGGTGGTAAAACTCATCCTTGATAGCATCCGGGATGCGATCTGTCGGAGCATAGGTTGAAATTACGAAAAGACATTGTTTCCCATACCGACTTCTCACTTTGATGGCGCTTTTTAAACTAACATCACATGACCGACTGTTAATGGGGATCAAATTGACTAGTGTTGTCTCGGCTCTAGTGCTGAGTAAAACACTAACGCCAGCAAAGCCAGACAAAGCTGTCACTGAGTCTCTGGATGAACATACGTTAAACAAGCTGTCCGATACGACAAACGGAGGGGGAATTTGTAGTATTTCACTAGAGTCTTGAATATGGGTCTCGAGTAGACAACAGACATCGATGTTGAGACTTTCTAAGGAAATAGCCAACCCTATCTCTTATCGGATTCGCATAAGTGTGTGAAAGTTGAAGGAGGCCAGTTTGAATGGTATATGTAGTTTCAGAATGATTGTTTCATTATTCGTAGTCGGTAGTAGCATTCAAATTCTGACCAGTCAGTGACTTGAGGTCGTTTAGATAGGACAGGGTTTCCACCATAGACCAGCTGTTGTATAAGCTGGAAGATAAAGTACACAATGATAATAAAGACGAGTAGATCTGTGACATAGTAGAGAAGAAATAAAAATGAATGTTTGCATATGATTTGTCTAAATGCTAATTGAACCAAGAATAGAAGTTGCAGTAGTAATTGTCATTTCATTTTATTTATATACCGGCTATGATACTATACGGGTGTCCAGACCAACGTCTTAAATTCATGCTAGCCTGTACAATATTAGATCACATAGCTTATTATTGAAAAAAACAGTAATATTGCAGTGCCATTTGATTGGCAGACGGACATCACGCCTACACTGCAGATTATGCGAGCTGGCGAGCGCCATCTAAGCCTTCTGAATCCCTGTCGAGATTTTGTCAGTTACCAACTCACTAGGACTGATAAGACTTCCAGGATGAGGGAAGTGATCGACATGCTAAGTCATTTAATTCTCCACTATTAGTCCAGGCATTGATGCAACTCAATCCTGAAGCAAGGTTTTGTATCTAAATGGAGGAAAATGTATCCCAAACATGACAACATTGTTACGCAAGTTAATCGAAATTCTCTGTATTCTGTCAGCGTCCTCACCAAAGAGAACTATATCATCAGGGTATTATAAACTGACAGGTGAATATCCTGGTCAGACTGATTTCTAAAATACCACGATATAAAGGTTATCTCTACAAAAATATCTATGACAGCTAAATGAAAATGGGGAAGGCGAACAACCCCGAAAGATACCACTTGGAGTAGCCAATTCCAAAAACACCTCCATAAGCTCTGACTTGGCTAGTAGTATTCGAGTAAAGAGCCTGTACAAGGTTAATGTACTTCTTTAGTACCATAAGACTGACTGATCTACAGAATCGAACGCTAGCTTAAGTTCGGGAAACACAACTATGGTTGGAAGTCGGTGGTTAAGTTTGTTTGAAATTCTGGTGAAGGGCAAATATTTAGTCTACACGTCCATCCCCAGGTCTGAAACCAGCTTGGCTTCTACGAGTTTGCTCTTTATGAACTCTGGTTAAACTATCAAGGACTATTAAGGTCGATACTTTTAGACACTATATTAGTCAAATTGATTCTTCTGGTATTCACAAGAGAATTTTTATCCTTAATTATAGACCAGAATGATCAACAGTCGAGACCAGTCAGATGAGACTAGGTTCATTCCCCATACTCTAGTTAATATCTCACTTTACTTGAAAGCTAAGAGTGAACCATCATCTCTGAAGATTTCTGGCGTTAATCCATCGGTACCTCCTACTGTCCTTTGCTTAAAATTAGCTATGGCTTTTTCCACTTCATTAAGAGGGTGGGAAGTTGATATCAACATCACATCCTGCGTTCTTGGTAGAAGTAAGTAACTAAAGGGTGACTGTATAGCAGTTGAATTGTTCTTTTCATCGTTCAAGTATCCTGCATTGAGAGTAGATCATTTGTGCATATTTTTCTGAAATATTCTCACTAACTGCCGAACCTTTTAATATGTGTTTCCTTGGATAGTCTGAAAAGTCCCGAACAAATTTGTTTGAATACAAACGGTGAAACTTAGCATTTAGCAAGCTCAATAATTAAGTATACAGTGTGTATTTATCGCTGAGGAAAACCAAGCACAGTAATTTTCACCTTACATTTGACTTTTTAAATTCATGTTAGCCTGTACAAAATTGAATCACATAGCCTATTATTTCAGAAACAGTAACATTGCACTGAAAACCTTATTTTGTGAATAACAACTTTATATGTGATCAAAACAACTAAGAGAACACGCACAACATTGGAAAGCAAAAACCTAGCAATTTGTTGAAGGTTCTATTCACAACCCAAATTTATTTCAATAGTTTTTTGAGTACTTTGCTTTACTAAAAATTTAGTTGACCAGTGATTTATTTAAAGTGGACGGTTTTGGTTACCGTAGTTATTAAGTTGGATATTTTTTTATAGTTATTTAGGTTTATTGGACCATTGACTAAAGATTAGTTACCGAAAATATCTCCTGATATGTTTAGTGATTTGAAGATGCATTTTTACTGGAAGTTGAATCAAGAGGACCTCCCCTAGAGGCAACTCCAGATTCCCGAAATTGGGCCTCCTGTCTGCGCATTTAGCAACCAATAGTCGCATGGTAGACGGTGGCCAACGATTGGTTCATACGCCATTTGTTCCTCCAGGATACTGGAGCTCATGTGCACCATTGGTTTGGAATCAGAGTTTTCCAATTCCCCTAGGTAGACTCTCCGTGTCCACCGACCAGGTTAAGGCGCCGGACATTCGCTTTTCGTCTTCTCAATTTCGTGAACAACACCCCCGCCACGAGAAGGCGGTGAGTAGAACTTCCTTGGCAGTGGCTGTACACGCGTGGTCATGTGAGAGCATTTCGAGAGGGAGAGCGGGCTCTTCCCACCCTCGACCGTACCAGGGCATTTTTGTGAATAACGACTTTATACGTGATGAAAACAACGAAGAGAAGAGATTGATACTCATGTTAATAAAATTACGTTTTTTACAGAGCATCCTTCAACCTATGAATTTAGGGAACAGAAAATTAGTATGAAATTACACTATTAAACAAGAGAACTCACTTTTTTGTCTAGCCAACCTCTTAGATTCCATTTCCGTTTGGAGGAGTTTTCGGTCATTCATATTAATCGGTCTTCCAGTTATTTTGTCACGTTTAACAATTCTACCATGTATGGGACATCGACCGCTTGGATCACATCGATGGCATAATGAACCAGACAACAAGGGAGCCCAACAGAACAGCTGTCGCGGAGCTACTGAGGTCGAAATTCACAATTAGATAGTTTCGTGAATTAGACAAGGACAATCTATTAATCACACCAAGTTTATAAATAGTAATCGGATAAATATTATTCTGTCTACGCTTGTAAACGTGCAAAATCGCTGATGGAGTGAGTAAAGTTGACGAATTCCGCTTGTTCTACACAGAATTGACAATTGAAATTCTGAAAAGCAATAAACCATAGGACGCTTGTCAGCATCGTGGCAAATGTTTCGTCGAAATACTTTGTGTTCTATACGAAGCTAGTGAAGATGGTTTTCATTACGTGACCTTTGACCGAAAAATCCCCATCGGCTAGTCAAACGTTTTTTTAGACACCCGATTTGTCGATTCAAGTATGCAGCTAAAGAGGACTACAGTTGTTAAACACGCTTTATCAGGATCGTTTAGAGGCTGATAGCATTAATCCATTATTATATCTTTCAAACAAATTGGAATTCGTTTTAAGAAAAAGCTCACTATTCTTTACTACACGAATAAAATAGAAGTAACCGCCTACTTTCAAAAAAGTACGGTGATGGAAATACCATTCACCAATTTCCTTAGTAAACGAAGCAAACTTACGGAGGCAAATATATCGTTATTAAAGCAGACCTCTGAATGGTCCTCAGTTTGTCTATTATAATGCATCTAAAATGTTCATGAAGTTCCAAATATATCCGTATCAACAAATTGATTTTTTTAACCGTTAAATTACAGTATTTTCAACCCACAAAATATTTCCATAAATTGCTTCACGAATCTAGTCTGGTTGTAAAATAAAAGCTCCACAAAATCACACTATTATGTATTTCTGATGCCCTTGTTAATATGCCGAAAGTATTCATTAAGAATGTGTCCCATTTGGAATATTACTCCATCAAGATTTAGTGTTTTAAGGAAGATCCCTGGATTATACATTTCGACAAGTGAAATAACGTAATGATCGTCAACTTTGACAAGTAGCGTGTTAATTCAGTTTATTTTATGATCTTTATATTTGATTTATTCATGCACTAGGTAAACCTTAAATTTCACTAACCTCTTTATTCTTCACGTAGCCAGTATAGTTCCAACAGTAATTACTCGCAGTACAGAGTTTTAGAAATTACTAGTTGGAATTTATTTTCATCAAGTTTGCGACTAGGTTTCAATCTGTAACGTTTTTTAACGTATCACAAAATCAAAGGATCACTATTTGCCTCCATAAACGAAAGTTGTTTTCCATTTCAATTAATGTAGCTGTTTTTTCTCGTATGACTTCTAAAGAATCTATAAACTTTTTGTTGCTTGTCTATCGGTTGATGCTATTTCTACTGTAACTTTCGTTGTTATTTTTCGTGTCATATCTCGAGTACTGTAGTAATGGTTTAGTACCAAATCAAATATCTCTTAATTATCGTCAAGCTGATGATACAGTTGATGCTATATCTAAGTTTGGTTTCAATTGGTATATTTTTGAAATGGACCAGCTAATCACCTTAAGTATTGGATTTATTTTGTGAATACAGGTTAATTCGGTATTCGTGTTTATCCTATATATCGTTCTTAATTCTGATCGTTTGAGATGTAAGACAACCTAAGGATTGCCGTTAAACGAATTTGGTTGGAGTTTATTTTCATTGTTGGAATTCTTATTGTCGGATGAGTCTGTTGGCTAAATTATCTAGTTAGACCAGTGGATGCAAAGGAACCGTTTTCCAATCGGCAACAAATAATGAAGCATGT